TGAAGAAGCCTGCATAAGAAATGTAGCTAGAGCTAAAGAAAGAAGTAATACATATTTAAATAAATAAGTAAATAGGCCTAACAGCTACTGAAGTAATTTTTTTTTTATTATTATTTTCAAGCCTGATGGTGCTGTACTCATAGCTTTTTGAGCCTCAATGATGGCTCAAGCATCGGATCGGAGGATCCTTCCTTGTTCTTATCAATTTTAGAACGCTTTAGAAATATGGTGAGGTGGTGAGAATAAATTAATACATCAAATATTGTAAGGTCTTGTGATGGATTTAAAGGGGTCATATGATGCGATTTCAAGTTTTCCTTTCTCTTTGGAGTGTTACAAGCTCTTGGTGCATAAAGAAGATCTGTAAAGTTGCAAAGACTAAAGTCTCAAATCCAAAGAGATATTCTTTATAAAAGTTAAGAGTCTACCACGCCTACCTAAAATGCCTCGTTCAAACACGCCCCCACATGTCTACGTCACTATGTGGAAATTTTAGCATAATGCCGCCCAAATGTGCACGCAAAGAAAGAAGGCGTGGTTTCAGGAACAGCAGTCGTGTTGATGCAGCATGTCAGGGAGACGCTGTGTTTCAGTGCGAAAGCAAAAGCACTTTATTTGGCCTTCCAGAAGTTAGGAATTGCAATTAGGAATCATTAGTTAAGATTTATTCACAACAGAACAGCACAACCCAGATGTTCGAATTTGTGCAACGCATTCTATGGACGACAAAGTGCACAAAGGCTATTTCTAAAAAAGAAAAAAAAAAAGGGTAAATTCCGACTTTGCTATGACAATCTGGCGCTTCTGAATCAGCGACTGTACGTATGTTTTGTTACTAGTTTAAGTATTTGCTATTGACTGTTCAAATGCGGAGTTTTGTTTGGCGCAGAGTAACGCGTCGTGTGTGTGTGAGGGGAACAGGGTCACATCACAGGAGAGTGAACTGCCTGTCAGAAATCATAGCACGTCAGCTGTCTTAACCGTGGCTTGTGTATTGCAAACACATACCAGCTTCATCACTGTGTCTGTCACGCGACTCTGTTGTCCTTTCGGGCTTGAACTGATGGTAAAACTAACGAAATTATTAACTGTCTTGATATTTACTTTGAAAGCAGAAGCTGCGATTATGGTAAGGGGCGTTACATTTCCGATGCGTGCTTGTGATGTTCGGCCAATCACAATGCACTGGGTCAGCTGGCCAATCAGAGCAGACTGCGCTTGTCAAAGGAGGGGGCTTTGTAGAAAACTAAGCGTTTGAGAGAGGCGGGGCATAGAGGACCTACAATAATGTACAGTATTTGAAAAATAATGTGTTTTTTGAACATTAAAGCATGTCAACATATTCTGTTACACCAAATACACAAAATAATGATCTTTAAAATAGCATCATATGACCCCTTTAAAAAATCTCTGCATATAGAAAACTCGCCACCTCTGAGAAAACCGTAGAAAGCCATAAGCAAAACAGATTCTTGCAATAGATCAGAATAAGGCCCAAAGCACCCTACTTTCAGACATAATATTAACTTTTGCAAGAGTGTGAGTGAGAAAGGGAGATGCTGATCATTGCTTTGAGGTTTCTCCTTTTTAAGGCCGTTAAGCCGGAGATGAACAGATGGATTTTCTAGTAAGCTGAGGGTGGATGGATCTAGGCAGTGCAGGTGGAATTGGATGCCGGCAACCATAATGTTGATGGTTGAGGCTTCATTTTCCATGATTCAAAACAATAGACTATAAAAGCACTAACATATGATACATCAACAGGCAGTAAAGCTACAGAGAACGTGGCACAGAAAGAACTAAAGTGAGACCACGCAGAGTCATACATTTTAATGTATATTTCGCTAAAGGTTGACTAAGGATTGCATAATTTCTGTTATATATGTGGGACTTTTATTTTGAAATAGAATCTGCTTTCACGGCTAAAAAATCCTGTGCAGCATCTGTGCACAATTTAAGGTCTGCAGAAGACTCCAGATCATCATTATAGAAAAAATGAGATGCCATTCCTGTTATTGAGGAGCAGAGACCTGAACCTGAGATCTGCAGCCTGTGTCTAAGGTAACTACATCCTTAAGATCTTTAACTGACTTGGAGAGGTCAAGGAGCCTAGCAATAAATTACCTGCCCTGGGGAATTATAAGATGGCCTAGCAAAGACAGCAGATATCTTTTGGAAAAAGATACTGACATCTGAGCATTTCTCATGACTTCTTTGATGCGATTTAATTTCTCAAAGGGCAGTGGGGCTTGCATTAGGTTGGAATCTAAGGTGATGCCTAAGAATTTAAGGACTTTAAGAGGGCCTAAACTTTTCTCCTCAGAAAGAGAAACACCCACGTTATCGAAGGTGCAGTTTAGCACCAAGATGCAATGGTCTGGCTTTGCATTTCGATAATCCACTAGCAGAAAATTGTCTAGAAGATGAAGCATGTGTGGCAATTTGCAGTTATTGAGAAGAGTCCAACACAGCGGCTCTGATAGTGTATCAAATAGTTTTGGACTACTGGGACAGCCAAGGGTGAGCCTAACAGAAATATACCATTTATTTCTCCATTTAATGCCAAATAAATGTCACTGCGATGAATGGCATGACTTGAAAGGTGTCTGAGATATCTGCCTTTGTGAGCCATGCACCCCTACCTGCTTGTTTAATTAATTTAATTGCACCATCAACGGTAGCACAAAACAGAGAAAAGGGAGCTAAAGGAATAAGATTGTTAATACTTTGAGCTGTGTCATAATGAGGGGAAGATAGGTCAATAACTAAGTGCTTGTCCCCCAAATATTTACAAGTAGTACTCCCTATGGAATTAATCCGATCATTTTGAAAGGGAGAAGTTTTAAAATTGCCCGATCATAAATCCTTTCTAAACCTCCTTTTCTAACAAGTTATCAAGTTTTTACCGACAAAAGAATAATTAGGCAAGCAGGATAACCCTGCAAGAAAACCTTGGACAAGACCTGTTTGTAATGAGGAGTCAGCTGAGTTGGGATCCATGTGCAGCTTTATTAACAAACACTCAGAGTACAACAGGCAAGGTTCAATCAACAGCGTCAGAGGAGGAGTATGTGAGCGGAGTGGAGCGGAAACAATTTCCCCTCCCCGCTCCAAGCATTCAATAATCACTCCGCTCCAGGTTCACCATTTCCCACTCCTCGCTCACTGATATCAGAAACACAGCTCCATCTGTTCATAACACACATATATATATATATATATATATATATATATATATATATATATATATATATATATATATATATATATATATATATATATATATATATATATATATATATGCAGGGCAGGACTTAGGGGGACGGGGGCCCCTGGGTTTGAGTTTATGTTTGGGCCCTATACCTACACTACAAATGCCCTCAAATAGAACATCATTATGGAGTAACACAAAATACACAAACATGTGCTTCGAGGTTCATAAATAGTACAATTAATTTGCAACATGTCTAGGCTATAGTCAAAGTTTAAATGTGATATTAAATATTCATTATAATATAATAAACAGGATGTGTTCTCTATAGAGAAAATATCCAGTGAGCGGCAGTTGTGTGGACGAAAATGCCTTGTTGATGTCAGAGAACACTCTCCAAGAGGTAGACATGTCACTGTCAAAGTCTACAATCAAGAGAAGACTATAGAGAGCAAATACAGAGGCTTCCCCACAAGGTGCAAACAAGGCTAGATTAGACTTGGCCAAAAAGCATCTAAAAAGCCAGACCACTTCTGGAAAAGCATTCTTTGGGCGGATGAAACTAAGATCAACCCGTACCAGAATGAAGGGAAGAAAAAAGTATGGAGAAGGCTTGGAACAGCTCATGATCCAATGCATACAACTTCATCTGTGAAACATGGTGGAGCAGTGTGATGACATGAGCATGCATGGCTCCCAGTGGCACTGGTTACGGGTTTTTAATGATGATGTGTCAGAGGACAGAAGCAGCCGGAAGAATTCTGAAATGTATAGGAATATACTATCTGCCCAGATCCAGTCAAATGCAGCAAAGTTGATTGGACAACGCTTCATAGTACAAATGGACAATGACCCAAAACATACAGCAAAAACAATCCAGGAGTTTTTGACAAAATAATCACAAAGTTTTTTGTTTTTTTAATGTGCACGTTTAAAATAGACACTTTACAGTTTTGAATGATGTCTTACTTTTATCTATATGACCAAGAATGATGAAATAATTTAAGTTCTTTGTGTGGTTATCAGGAAAAATGCAACTGAACATGTTGCCACATTTGCCGACATTAGAAGGTTAAACTCTTTTTACACCATCCCTGATGGGAGTGGTCAATGTTCCTATACATAGGCAGGGGGGGG